CTCTCCAGAGGGCCCGGGGGTGAGTGCTGACCCTTCCCGACCCGAAACTGTCACCGGGGCCGGCCTCCGGGCCTACCGCCGGGCAGTGACCCCGAGCTGTCGCCGCTAAGTCGCGACCCCGGGGCTCGCAGTCTGCCGCGGCCTTTTTTGCTCAGGACCCGCCGAGCCCTCGGCTTCCGGGGAGAAGCACCTGCCCTGGAAGTGTTTGGGGCTAGCCTCGCCTCCCTTTCTAGTTGGGCAGTTGGTTTGGAGAATAAATTCGGGTTTTAGTGGCCGAAAACGAGCTCGGGGTTTGAGCGGCGGGAGGAGTCGTCTTCCCTCCCCGCCCGCCCGAGTTGGCCCTGACACCTTACAGCATGACCTTGAACCTGCCGTGCTCAAGTGGAGCCTTTTGGGAAAGATGCGTGCTGCAAAAGAAAGGCCGGCGGGGTTGCAGGCGCGGCCCCTCGGTGCCGTCGCGAACGGGGATCCCTCGTCCCCGGAGCCCCGACCTTCGTCTGTAGGACGAGGGACCCCGCTCCGACGGCAGAAGAAGACCCCAGCTGCTTCCCACCGTGTTAGAACGAGCGGCATTCTCCGGGACAGAGCACCTTTTCAGAAGTAGTGGCGTCTTTTCATTGCTGGGGATGAGGCTGAAAAAGGAAAGCTTTGCCAAATACCGAATCAGTTGTGTGCAGGCCTCCCACCGGGAGACTTAGAAGGATCCCGAATGGTTTTTTCCCCTCCTCTGGGCGAAAAACGTTTGTGTCCGCCTCCACTGGCAGAAAAATTTCTTGCTGCCTCGATTTCATTCTCCTTGACTAATGATATCCCCAAAGAAAAACCCTTGGGGACATTAGGACGATTTAAATTGTATTTAGGTGGTTTTCCCATGCCATTAAATGGTTTGGGGGGGCTGCTGTCTTTGTGGTTTCAAAGACTTGTGAATTGGTGTTACTATTTTTTCCAAAGGAAATGGTCTGTTGTCCCCCTTCCTGCCTGATAGAGCTGCCCCATTTTAGGATTACGAAGTTTAGCTGTAGCGCACCTTCCTGCTGGTGTTGAAACTTTTCTGTGGTTAATAGATACTTCTCAAAAGTTTTCAGTAACCTTTCTTGAAAAATAACCTGGGATCGCTTCAGCCCTGTTTTTCCAATACACTCATTCTTTAAGTTATAGTGGTTTAGAAAGGACTGTAACAGAATGACCTAGATAAAAACCTTGAACTACACCCAGACGATAAGTGTTACAGAACTAGGCTTTTTCTGTTGTAATTAGAGAATTAATATAAATTTTTGCTGCCACAATCAATTTGATCAAAATTGTTTTCTGGGACGTTCTAGGCTCTCTGGGTCTCATTGTTCTGCTGTAGAAAGTTGGGCTTGAATCCATGTCCCACATCGGTACATTTTCCACCAGTAATGTGTGACTGAACTATATATAGGTGGTATGTGGATGGGTTTTTTTGTGATAGTTATGTTTTTATTACTTATATTTATGTACACCGAGTCCATGGTTTAAGGTAATAATGTAAAATTTCCTTTTGAAGTAAATTTATTTAAAAAATCAAATTGAAGCAATAAAATATAATCTAGAGTAAATGTATTGTAAATTACAGGGGAAAACCCATAGTTGGTAAATATTGCGACATTTGGGGACCACGGAGCTTAGAAAAGGTAGAAATCTGAAGTTTGCAATGACTCTGAGGAGGATTTTTGTCCTGTTGGTTATGTAACAGGATCATGCACAGGTTGCCTTGTAGATTCTAAACTTCTAGAATTAATACGTTAACTTCAAATGAGAAGTTGATTTATTGCTAAAAGCTACTAACCAAGGTGCCATAGTCCAGTTAAGGGATAAAAATAATTAGATTCTGATCTTTTTATTTAAGAAAAAAAGAAAGCCCAGTAATTGAAACAGTGGTGTTAAATTTTAATGCAAAAGTTCCATTTGCTTTTTAAATTTAGGTAATTCAACTATGGGATACTTGGGCCTTTTCTAGAGGTTGTCTTCAGTATCCACCTTTGTATTCTAAATCCTTCATTCTTTGCAAATTCAGAAAATTCTAAGAAAAGATGTTGGTATAGAATGAAATGATGAGACCCTTGGGCTATGCTAGTCAAAAGTTAGAAGAAAAAAATACAGTGAGGAGAATGTGGAAATTGGCACATTTCAAAGAAACAATGTTCTAGCACTTTATGTCCTTTGCATTATAAAACTTCAGTTTATAATGTCCCAGTGTTTTAATTTTTTAAAAGGTATTTCTTTTCAGTGCTCTTCTGAATATAAGCTTTTACTATGCTTCAGATACAAACGCTGTTTGAGGAGTATTTCATGTAGAAGGATGCACAAAGACGTAATGGAGGCTGCCTATGGGGAGCTGAGTGACTTAATAAAAATGATGGGACACTTCATTTTCTCTGTATTCTTTGTGTTTTGGTTTGGTTTGGTTTTTTGAGACAAGGTCTTGCTACGGCCTTGAAACCACTGTGTAGCCCAGAGTGGCCTCCAATTCACAGTGATCCTCCTGCCTCAACCTCCCAAGTGCATGCACCGCCATTTTCTCCATATTCTTAGGTACTTTGTATCCCATGCATTTTTAACTGGTTCAATTTAAAAAAACATTTTAAGTAAATGAAAATAATCCATATGTTTATGTCTCTTTTGTAAGTATTAAACATTTTCATCCACTACATTTTTCCAAATACAAATGAGAAACAGTGGTAGACGTTGGCTTACATAATGAACAAGGCCCTGGCTGTGGGACTAAACTTACTTGGTACTTGGGATCATACCTAAGCGCACTGCCACTGAGCTGCAACCCCAGACCCTCTTACTTATTTTTTTATTTTGAGATAGTGTTTTGCTAAGTTGCTCAGGAGGGACTCTGGTATAGAGTTGTGTATCTTTGTGACTTTTATCATTTGGAGAATTTCCATCTGAATCTGTAATATTTGTATCCTCTACTTTCTCAGTTGTCCCCTTTTTTTCATAGGGACAGAAACGGCTCTAAGTATAGCTGATGCACAGTGAAGCAGGTTCAGGATTTAATATGAAGCCCAGGAACAGATAGTGCCAACACCAAGCGGTACTTGGTACACATCTGTGAGTAAAATGTTCTCTTTTGGCTCTGTTTTCTTAGTCTTTAAACCATCTGCACTCCAAATCCATGAAATTCAGACATTTTGATAAAGAATAAAAGAAGCTAGTTAGCAGTCCATATCAAATCAGTTGTCAAAACTTAGCTCAGTAAGTGGGCTCCAAGAATTCTCCCTAGCGTCTCAGGTGAGATTCACTGTGTGAAGTACACCTGTGATGTGGAGATAAAGGACTAACCCCAGCTGTGATTAAGACATTGGGAGCTGGTGATTTAGCTCAGCAGCTCCACCACTTGCCTCAGAAGCGTAGTGTCCCCAGTTTGATCCCAAGACTTTGATGCTCTTTGATTTTTTATTGTCTTTAATGTATATATACATAAATATCTTTTATTGAATAGTATAATTTGATTTTTAATGTTCATTTTCTTTTTAGGAAACTTACACATTAGTTTTAGGCTACCTCAAATTCATTTATTTTTATCCTTTGCATTCTCTAAATGATTTTGTCATTTGTATTTAGTCTTAAAAAGTGAAGTTTTTTTTTTCCATTCAGAATTATGTGATTAGAGGACTTTTAAGGCAGTATTGGTTTTTTTCTAACTTGACATCACATTCATATAAACATTTAATAGAGTTTTTCTTTATCCTGTTTGCAAAAAATCATAAAACAGTGACTGTTTCTTACGGGCATCTTTGATTTTTGAGGTACTGTGGAATAACTGTTTAGGAGAGATTTAAAAATTAGTTTCTCAGATCAAGTCCCAAGTTATGTTCAAATCCAAAAACAAATTTATATAGATATTTACCTTTAATCATAGTTTTCACATGAAATAAATTGTTGAAATACTGATTTTTATTCTTTCTTTCTTACAGCTGGAAAAGCAGTGTCCGTGTTATGTACACCTCCAAAAAAGTTCAGATCTGTAGGGGAATTGTTATGTAAAGTAAACTGAACTGCAGGGTAGCAGTGTTTTAATAGCTATTGTAGGCGTGTCTTTACTGTATTAAAATGAGTAAAAGAACAAGCAGTGACACACCACTAGGAAGGTCAGTGACATTTTTTTCAGTTGAGCTGGTATTACAGGTTTGAGAGACATTGGCTTGAAAGCTGTTGCCGTAGGCCTACCATGCTCTTTCATGCTTTTTATTTTGTATTTTGGGGCAGCGTGTTTTCACTGCATTTCCCTGAGATTGTGAATTTCTCTCCAGTTTACGTTACTGGGTGCATTTATGCTGTCTTTATTCCAAAGGCTTTTGATGCTTAAAACAGATACATATGTAATAAATTAATAATGTAAAACTTTTAACTCTTCAAAAATGCATGTCAAGGATTTAATACAAATTATATATTTGATATTGTATCTGTCATCAAATATATGTTCAGTAAGAGGTTTTAATTTGTAGTTTATGATTTTAAGGGGGTTGCATCTTGTTTAAAAATTTAGAATTAACCATATTTACCTTTTGAGTCTGGTTTTCATCATTTAAAGGCTTTTCATGCATGATGCTATTTTTAATTTCATTTTTGTAAAGTCCAAGCAGCTTTCTCTCAAGTAGTAAAGTTTTTTGTTTTCAGTACTGGGAATCCATCCCACATCCTGTGCATGCTAGGCAAGTGCTCCTTCAGTGAGCTAAACCCTCAGGCCCTGATTAAGCATTTTTAATTTAAATTTTCTTTCAGGCATTTTTGAGTTATAAGCAGCATGTATATCTGTTTATGCAGAGAGAGAGAGAGTGTTGTGTGTGTGTGTGTGTGTGTGTGCGTGCACACTTGCACGCACACATGTATGTTGTGATTCTACAATAATTTTTAAATTTGTTTCTAAGCAGTAGTCTCAGCTAATTTCAGCTATTAAGTAAGAAAACATGTTGGAGAAACCATTTTCTTCAATCTTTCATTTTTTGGTATGTATTCAGTACTTGCAAATGTGAAGCTTCCTTCTGCTTCTTCTATCATAAGGTATTCTAACATCACAGCAGAGAGGAGACTTGACATTCTGACACTCAGTCATCCCGGTCTTAACATTTTCCCCCCACAGGGTTAGTGTGGCAGCGTTTCCTTCTCCCACTGCTGCTGAGATGGCAGAAATCAGTCGAATTCAGTATGAAATGGAATACACCGAAGGTATTAGTCAGCGAATGAGGGTTCCGGAAAAATTAAAAGTAGCACCACCAAATGCTGACCTGGAGCAAGGGTTCCAAGAAGGAGTTCCAACTGCTAGTGTGATAATGCAAGTTCCAGAGAGGATTGTTGTAGCAGGTATTTCATGTTTGCTTAAGAATTTGTCTACTACATCTGTATTTTATATATCTTTATGAATCCTTTGGGGATTTAAAAAATGCTATTTAGAGAAGGAATTGGGAAATGCAGCTTACATTTTCAGAAGTTCTATTCTTTAAAATGGTTGAAATTTTAAGCAGTTAAAAATAATTAAACAAATTGTTGAAGTTTTAACACATAAAATATGCACATTTTAAAGTGTACCTATCAGGAGTGGGTATTAGCTCAGTGGTTCCATCACCTGCTTCACAAGAACAAGGTCCCAAGTTCAATCCCTGGTACCAAAAAAAAAAAATTAAGTGTACCTTTCATGAGTTTTGACAGAGGTGTGCAGTCATGTACCATTACAGTCAGGATACAGAACACTGCCCCAAAAGGTTCCCTTGTGCTTCTTATGTGAGTTCCTACCCTTCAGCTCTAGGAAGCATAGTTTCCTTTCTATAACCAGAGGCTAGATTTGTCTTCCTTAGAACTTTATATAAGTGAAACAATACAGTGTACCCTGCTTTGGCTCCTTTTGCTCAGTGTACTGTTTGGGGGGTTATTCCATATTGTTATGTATATCAGTTGCTCATTCCGTTTTATACTGAGTAATATCCTACTGGGTGGATAGCATTAATGTGTTTATCTATTTACCTGTTGGTGGCCATTTGAGTTACTTCCTTTTGGGAGATCTTAGGAGTAAAGCTGCTATGAATATTCATATACAAGTCTTTAGGAGGACATATGTCTTTATAAGTAAAATCACTGGGTTATAAATTTAACTTTTTCAAATAATGGCAATTTACTCTCCAAATTTTTATACCATTACATTTCCATCAAAGTTTCATTTGCCTCACATCTTTGCTAGGTTTGTATTTGTCAATCTCTGTTTTAGTTGTTCAGGTGGGCATATAATGGTGTTTCCTTGTGATTTATAATTATATTTCCCTGATAATAATTCTGAGCATCCATTCATGTGCTTTTGGTCATTTGTATATCTTGGCCATTTGAAGTATCTAATTCAGATGTTTTGCCAATTTGAAAAATTGGGTGTTGAGTTTTTTTTTTTATATATCTGGATACCAGTTTTGGTTTGGTTTTGTCATGTATCTGTATTATGTAATTTCTTTTTAATACGTGTACCACAGTGTTGAATGTTAGTGAAATACCAGTTCTTAAGCTGAAAATGTAGTTTTGAGACAGAGTCTTGCTGAATTCTAAAGTTCCTCAGGCTGGGCTCAAACTTGTAATCCTTTTGCCTCAGCCTCCCAGAGTGCTGGCATTATAGGCATAGACCACTATGCCCAGCTAAAAAGATAGTTTCAAAGAATCAAATGCTGTTGCATAGGTTATAATATAAAAGTGAAAGAAGATAAATGCATTTTAACAAAACTACTTTTTTAAAAAGTCTCCCTTTTTTGTTATTGTTATTGAAATTGTTTTTTGTTTTTCCTTCTAGGAAATAATGAAGACATTTCATTTTCAAGACCAGCAGACCTTGACCTTATTCAGTCAACTCCTTTAAAACCTCTGGCACTAAAAACACCACCTCGTGTACTTACACTAAGTGAAAGACCACTAGATTTTCTGGACTTAGAAAGACCTCCTGCAACCCCTCAAAATGATGAAGTAAGTAGAATTTTAACATCTGTTAAGTTTGAAAGAGTATAATCAAAAGTTAAAAAAGGAGTTAAGAGTCAATGAAACATATCACTAGTATTATGTAATGGAAGCTTTCTACCTGGAATATTGCTTACTATATGATTTATAAATTATGTAAATAATTATGCTATTATGCATCAAAATGAAAATTTTGTAAAAAATATGTGTGCAAACTTAAAGATGTGTATGTATGACTATATTTTAAGTAACGCAGAGAAAATTGAGAAGTCTTGCAATAGGAGGAAATAAATGCATCATTTTGTTACAAAGTTAGTCTGGCAGATAGTACCCACTCTTGCTACTGAATAAAATGTTTCTACCAAGTTAGCTGCTGCATCACAAGTACCATTAATACCCCTGTTGACCTGAATATAGCCACATGGACTAATAAGTTGTTACTGGTTGAGTTCAAATCTTGCCTCTGCTGGTTACTCAAAAACAGTCTTTAGAAGCTTTTTTCTTGATAATTTCTGTAGTGGCCTCTTTTTCATTACACTTCTGAACTTCTGACATATTGTCATGAGGGTGGTATAAGACAATGTGCAAACATGTTTTTTATTAATACTGAGTCTGTGATGTCCCTTTCCATTTTTCACCTAGTCCTTTCCAAAGAGGGTTAAGCTGTCATATAAGCTAGGGCAAAGCAACTTTCTAGTTGGAGGTATTGCTGTTTTTTAGATTCTGAATTTTCTGCTGAAGTAATTGAGGTATAAAATGTTCCTGAGTGCCAGTTTGAACATCCTAGGCACTTTGCTTAGTGAAAAGCATAGAAGTTGAGTATTTCGACACAAGACATCAAGATCCTTGCAAACTTACTTAAACCATTTTTTGAACTTCTGTGTAAACACTGTAGGTAGCATAAGGTTGAATGCCAATAGTTCTCACTCTTGGAAAGTTTACTCTGCCTCACCACAGCAGGACAGAGGTGTAAGGGAAAAGCACCAGCTGACAGATGCAAAGTTCTTTAATTGCATAGAGTAATGGAAGTTGTGAAGATGGCTACATAAAGCACAGAGTGTCGCAGCATTCTCCCAGTTAGGAGTCCTGCTTCCCAGCTCCCAGAGTTAAGAATTCTGCCAGGAGAGAGATTCTTTCTTGGCTGTTTATTGGTTTGTTTTTTTTTTTTAGATGTAGCTGCTCCCTCTGTTTTAAGACACTTGCCTACCCAGTGCAAATGACAAATTAAAAACAAGCCAAGAACTTTCCTAAATGATTACTTTAAAACTAAACAAAGAAAAGTTTTGACAAGATTACCATAAGAGACTATTTGGGATTCACTTTTGCATTATTTGTGTTATTTAGTCAAATGTAATAAATGCCTAGAGTGTGTAGCACTAGAACAAAAAACTCTTATGTTGAGAATTTGACCAAAATTTGAACATCTGTCTTGCCACTTAGCACATAATTTTGGTCAAGTTATTTAACAATTCTAAGAGCTATCTATAAACAAAGATAAAAATAATGCCAAGTACATAAACTTATTTAGAAAGTTCATATTAAAAGCCCAATATGTATAAATAGTTTTATAAAAATATTCAAATTCTATAGCTGGAACCAAATCTTGATGCACAAGAAAGGATTTTCTGAGATTAATATCAGCTAACTATTAAAAGGAAAGCAAGCCGGCCTTGGTGGCTAAAACAGGAGAATCACAAATTCTAGCCAAGCTAGGCAATTTAGTGATTTACTGAGATCCTGTCTCGAAATAAAAGAGGGGAGGGTGGTGTAACTCAGTACACAGGCCTTAGTACAACCAGAAGAAAGAAAGATGATAGCTTGTACTTCAAGTTTGTAGAAGGGCAGATCTGAAAAGATTGACCAACCATTGAGCAGAGGAGGGAGCCTGAGTTTTTGCAGCTGCTAGAAATGGGCTGATGTGGAAGGACAATAAGGTCCTGAGTAATTGGTAACGTTGATTCAGATGTTACTCAGGCTCTGTAAGTGAGTTCCCTGGAACGATCTGCTCTGTGCCAATCAAAAGCAAGGATTTCTCAACCTCGGCACTATTGACATTTTGAACTGGAGGACTCTTGGTTGTGGTGAGAGTTGCTCTTTTGCACTGTAGAATGTTTAACAGCTTTCATGATAGCCAACTACACGATGCCAGGTGCATCCTCTTAAGTCATGACGATCAATCAAAGCTGTCCATGGGCCAGGGATTTAGCTCAGTGGTACAGCTGCCTGCCTTGCAAGCACAAGGTCCTGGGTAGTGGGTGGGTGGTGGTATTTCCAGTAACTGAAAAATGGAAACAGTGGAAATGTCCATCACCTGATAAGTGGATAAACAAAATGTGATATGTTTGTACAGTGATTGTAACAACAAAAAGGAATAAAGTACTGATACATGGTAAAACATGGATGAACCTTGAAAACATGCTAAGTTGAAGAATCAAACAGAAAAGGCCATACATATGTCATATTATTCTGTGTCACGAAACAGAATCCGTAGAGACAGCAAATTAGTGGTTGCCAGGAATTGAAAGAGAAGGCAAGAGTGACTGCATAATCATTGTGGGCTTTCATTTGGGTAATAAAAATGCCATGGAGGCACAGCATTGTAATCACACTGAATGCCCTGAATTATACATCTAAAAATGGTTAAAATTGGGAATTGGATATTATGCATATTTTAGTACAGAGAGCAACTTCATTTAAATTCTTAAATGGGGGCTGGGGATTTAGCTCAGTGGTACTGCTGCCTGCCTCGCAAGTACAAGGACACAAGTTTGATTACCTGGTACCAAAATAAAAAACTTAAATGGGCTGGATGAATCCAAGTAAGCCTACGAAGAGGGCTGAAAACATGATACAGATAATCCCCTGGCTCAGTGGAAGTTTGTAGAACTTGGAGGTTGGAGCAGAAATGCATAAACTCTTTCAGTATATCTGATCTGTACCCATATATGGAAAGTAGTTCTAGGGCAAGAACATTGCTTGCCAATTCTTCCTACAGGGAATTATAAATCAGCTATGCAGTAAGCCACATGAACTGGACATGAAACTATAAAACACCCAGATTGTGACAACTCTTAGGGTTCTTGCGGCACATCCAGCAGTGTGAATGGGAAGGCTGTGGCACTGATGCTGCCTCCTCTCAGAAAGGGGTCTCAGCTGGAGCCAGGGAGAGAGAATCTTCCAGAGGATGAGAAGGAGGAACTATGAAGAAAAAGAATTGGATAGGGATGCCAAAAGATTTAAAATGGCCTTGAGCAGTGTGACTAAGCCTGAAGATTTGAACTCCACCATTATCTCAGTCAGTAGCAGATGTTTTGAAAGCTCGGCTACAGTAAATGCCTAGAGCCTTGTGAGAAATCCATTGATACAGTAAGAGAAAATGGGCTCTAAAAGACAGGTTCTAAGCTCTTTGGCCCAAATTGGCAACTACTTCAAAAAAGAAGTACTAGAGTGCTGTCCATTTCTATAATATTAGGAAGAACGCCAAACTCCAGATATACCCAAGAAATAGCAACAGTCAGGGATGACTGGGAAGGAGCCAGATATTTGACCTGTATAAACCTTGACTTGATTCTGGAAGAGAAGGGCAAAGGCGATGAGTTATTTTCAGAAGCCATGTACAGAAGTTCTCAAACGGCATCCAGAGGATGCCAGATTCTACAGCATCCATGTACAATCTATGGCCAGAGCTCGGTTCTCCAAGTTTATCAGAGATTGCACTTAGAAAGCCAGAGCCTTAGAAGCTGAAGGGTGACACAAAAGCTGTGATTATCTAACAGAAAACTCTAGACTTAGTAATCCTGTTGTAAAGCAGAAGATGGTTGTTAGTGCTCTGTGATGGCCAGTTCAGCTTAAATGACAACCTTGAGGACTAGAAGCCAAAGAGCATAGCTATAAAATGTAATGAGTCACTTAGCTATGCGACACAGCCCAGAACAAATGCAGAAGGCTCCCCAGACACTTAACGGGGTATTGCAGTAACTCAGAAAACCCAAGAATCTGATGGATATGAGTCTGATCACAATTTGGTGTTGGTTTGCTTAGCTCCCTTGTCTTCTTAACTGTGAGAAGAGGAGCTAGGATTGAAATGAGGAGCACAAACAATAAAGTCGAGAGAAGTGAGAGGGCTGGGGATTTAGCTCAGCTGTTCCGCTTCCAGCCTTGCAAGCGCAAGGTCCCGAGTTGGATCTATGGTACCAAAAAAAAAAGGTCTGGAGAGAAGTGAGAAAGAAGAGCTTGTATGATTTTATACTGTGCACCTTGATCCGTGGAAGATTCTTTGACATGTAGTTACGTTCTTTTACAGTTACAGTTTGGTACCATATCACAGGCATGGGTCTTCCCTGTGACACATTGTCCCACGTTTCTGTCCCATAACCTGTAATCACTGACTCAACTGTTCTCCCAACTGCTAGTTATTTTAAATTTTGGACAGTGAGGATATTTTAAAAGGACAGGATGTTTATCCAAGTTGTTCAGTACACCTTAACTCATTTTTTTCCCTCTTCAATAAAAGTTCCATGGAAAACCAGAAGTATGAAGGGAAATACTAAGGCCTGTGAACGCATTCTTAAAGAGGAGGAAGTCTTGTTGCAGAATAGAGAACCAGTAAACAGCTGTCCAAAGGAACAACTGTGAACAATCAAATATAACTTAGCGTATAAGCACATAGAAGGGGATTTTAATATGCCCTGAATTCTTTGAAATTAGAGCGTGGCAATAATGTCAAAGTTAGCATCCCTGTTAAAATGTTTTCATCAGATTTCACATGGTGAAGGTAGCACTCACCTTGAGATTCTCAAGCTTCAGGGCCATGTGGAGATATATTTGTCTTTCATCATTTCTTGCTCTTCATCGTATTTCTCACCACTTGGTGGTAGGAATGATTCTGATTTAATAGACAAGTCATGTTAACCCTACTATATTTGGAAAAGCTGTTGTACTTAAGGGAAAGCAACCCCAACTATGCAGGAAGTCTGAGTAGGCAAGTATCTGTCGGCGTCTCACCAACCAACCCAGTATTGTTCACTGTGCATAAGTAAAATAATACTTGATTATGGAGCGGTTAAGTTTTACATATATTTGCTTAATAGTAATTTTGATTTTGGGATTAACCTTAAAAGGCTCATGTAGTAGGCTTCTAACTGATTGTTCTGTTTTTAGGAGAAAAAAATTTTTTTACAGACCCTCCTTTAGTCTCCCTTCAGCATCCATTGTTGAGCATTATTCGCCTCATAAGCTATGCAGTTAGGCTCACAGTGCTTGCGTCTGTATTGAACAAGTACCATCTTTCTTTTTCTTGCCAGTATTCCCTAAGTATGAGGGTAAAGCAGCTTTTTACAGAGCATTTACATTATATTGTGTTTGGTGTTGTTGGTGAGCCAGAGGTGGTGTAATGTACCGGAGCGTGTGCATAAGGATCCTCTGCTTTTTTATATAAAGTAATTTAGCATCCCACTGTTTAGGCATCTGGGGGTTTCTGGATCAATCCCCTGCAGATGCTGAGAATGACTACAGTTGTGCCAAGTAAACTGAGACTTAAGAAACCAGAATAGCTTTTATCTAAAAGTAAACAGATGTTCCTTAGTGTACCCACATTAAAATAACTAAGGTGTCTTGTTTAGTTTTTTGACAAGTCTGTCTCTAATACACATGCCAGGTGCTAATGCTTGATTGCTTTTTCTTGGTTCCTTTTAATTTATTTCTGGGTAGCCTTGGACTAAGGTTCCTTTGATGCAAAGCAGCTACTAGACAACTAAGAGTATTTTCTGTTCCTTTTCTTTGTGCCTTAGCAGATCCGTGCAGTTGGCAGGCTAAAAAGAGAACGCTCTATGAGTGAAAATGCTGTTCGCCAAAATGGACAGCTGGTCCGAAATGATTCTATGTGAGTAGAACCACTGAGCACTGTCTTCCTTGTAAGTTTGTTGGCATGTTATCTGTACACATATTTTTCTAAATAACTTGTCACAGTTTTTGAAATTTGTTTTACATATACATCATCGGTACATTTTTGCAGTACTTTATATAGTCTGGCCATTTTGTCAGTTGTGAAAATTTTTCAGTAATGTTATTTTCTGTGTATTTCTAAGTCTGATTTGTTTCTCTAGGGAATCTTCTTTAAAGTATACTTAAAGACAAATTGATAAATGTAACTGCTCAGTTATATGCAGTCTTAAAAATGTTTGGCATGTAGATTGAAAAAGAAAACAAAATAAGACGGCTTCACTTTGAAATTTTAACCTCGTTAGATTGTAAACCAGCCTTTTCCAGCCACCTGTGTCTCTAGCGAACCTTGATAAACAGTATAGTGTGGATGACTGAAAGTTAGCTTCCTTTCCATGCCTAGTTTTTAGCTTTCTCTACCTACTGCTTGTTGAATTATTAGGTCCCTTTTATTTTTAAAAACTACACATAATGTTGTTTAAAGAACTATTTGTTTAAATCCTTTCTTCTCATTTGTTTATATTATCACTAATCTTAAAGCTATTGTAGCATGTTTCAGATAAGGCAAGTACTTTTTATTTTATTAAAAGCAATACATTTGTTTTTCTTTTTGTTTTTGAGGCCATCTTTGTAGTTCAGGCTGGCCTTGAGCTCACTGTGTAGCCCAGGCTGGTCTCGAAGTTGCAGCAATCTTCCCGCCTCCCAAGAAGAAACATGGGCTACCATACCTGGCTTTAAATTAATTACTTTTTACAAATAAAATATCTCTGGAAAACTGGTCAGAATTTTTAATCTTAAATCACTGGCAGTGCTGCTTTAAAAAAAATAGATCATTTAGCTTGTTTACGTAGATTTTTCTTTCTTACTAATTTTTGGTCAGCTTTCATGTATGTGATGTCAAGCATCATGTTAGTTTTTCTGGGAACTGTGAAAGCACAATGTTTGACTTCCATATACAAAATAATTAGATCACAATAAGTGAGACTGTTTATATTATAGCATGTTAAGTTCTAGTTTGGGTCTGACTAAAGAGTATAGAGGTACAAAAGGGACTTTGATAGGGGCAGGGGCTTTAATATGCAAGATAAAAGGAGAAATTTTTCATATATTTTATCCTTGGTTTGCGTTTCAGTCAGTCAGTGAACTTAACAGCTTAACTTTAAATTTGTTTACTCCATTGAAATTCCATTCACATGTTAGGTGCAAGGGAAAACTATTAACTGCTCTGATTTCTTGGAGAATCTTGAAATGTCTCCTAAAGCAATTGAGCAATTACACTTACTCTGAAGGATTATATATAAATTTTTATGGTTTTCCTGAAGGTTGGCAGATGTGAAATTAATACACCCATGAAATTCATTTTTTCAGAATATTTCCAAATATACATAGTGAAAAAGCCACACAGTTTATGGCTAAGGTAGATTAAATTGAACATCTAAAGTTTTTAGCTTGTAATATTCTTTTAAGGCAGCAAAGGTTTCTTCTAGTAAACTTCTCTGCTATATAAAGATGTGACTTACTGTTTAGGTCCTGACTAGTTCTTTGTGACAGAAAAAGTTAACAGTGCTAATTAATATTGCTTTTCCTTTTTTTTTTTTTTTTCCTTTCAAATAGCCTTTGTAAATGTTTAAGAAAATGAAAATCTCATGTTTTGAGAACCTAATTTTTAAAATAAAAGATAGACAATAGGCGGTAGGGAGATAGAACTTTCTCAAATGGGAAGGAGATCAAGAGATGGCTGGAGGGAAGAAAAGAGGAGGGAAAGGGAAGAATTAAGATGGGATTGTATGCGCGTGCCAGCTCCACACAAGGAATGTAAATGTGCTGCAAACATGTACTAATGAAAATTTTTAAAAACACGAAATAATATGATTACATTATACATTTTCACAGTGAGATACCTAATCATGCTTTTTGTTAAGTGATCTATTTGCTATATTTTTTCTATATTTGCTATATATTTGTTATTTATGTTGTGAGATACTTACTATCTTTATATTAGGAAAGAACCCTTGCCTTTTCCCATTGTTAATTTTGCAATTTATAATTGAACTTTAATGAACTACATCTCATTAATTCTAGGAATTTTTGTACAATTGAACATAGGTAATCAGGGTTGTTAGTATGTCAAGAAAAAACTAGTAATATAGTACAGCTGTAATTTACCCCTACTAAAGTAATTATTAAGCCCTTCCTGTCTTGACCTACTTTAGTCTTTCCTTTGTAATGTGATTGATTATTATGCATCATTATTCATGAACCTTTGCCTACCCACACTTTATTTTCTTCTGTGGCTCTAATATTACAAGTGCAAATGAGAAGAGGAGCCGGGACAGTAGCCTTTGTTTTATGAATTACTTTGAAGAGGTAGTAGGATTGCTTGTTTTTACCTCTTGGCACTAAAATTAATTCTGACAGAATCATATCTAGCTTTTTCTTTGTATTATGAAAGCTGAATATGTAAAAGAAGCATAATTATTATTTAAGGTGGTACAGATCAGATTCTGCCCCAAGAAATAAAATTTCAAGGTTCCAGACATCGATTTCAGCACCGGAGTACACGTAAGATTTTTATCTGCTCTGCTTTTCACAAGGAGTCATTTTAATTTTGCAGGCTTATGTAGTACTAATCTGTTTCACTATGTAACTGGAGTATAACACCTTAATTCTCTTATTGTTTGGCTTTTTAGTACTTCAGGATTTCTCAAACTGTCATATATTTTATTAAGAAAATTTATTTTATATGGTTTTGGGCATTGATAGAAGGAAAATGGAGTATTTTACACATAAGGACGAAGTATTCTTTTCCATTTTCTTTATTTTGCTTTGGGTGGCGTATTCATTTTCTATAGATTGAATTTAACCAATTTAGTAACCCCAGTCACTTTTTATATTTCAGCACAGTATTATTTCCTTGTTTTAATTTGACCTAGAAGAATAGAGTGTTGACTGTGGTTCATCCCTGAAGTTGTTTTTCTTTCTTCCTTCCTTCCTTTTTTAAAATTCCATAGATTAAAAATATGCGATGTGTTAAGTTTTTTGAGAGCACTAAGCCCGCTGCTCTGTGTGACGGGGGCTGGGGATGACTGCCCTGTAGGGCGGAAGCATGTCTTAGTGCGTGGTGTAAAAATTCAGCAGCGGTGTAGTTCCTAAGCAGCAGAAGGAACCACACTGACAGCCAGTTTTTTTCTTTTATTCTAGCTGAGCTCTTTAGACTCCGAGGAGCTAGTGAATTGCCTTTGATAATGACAGCAAATTAGTTTTCTCCATTTAAAATTCTGAGAGAAATTAATAGGGCTTGTATTTTGTGAAAACGTTCGTGCCTTTTTTTCTGTTTTGCTCATGCTGCTTTTGCGAGTGGTTGATGCCTCACTGAAGAGGTTAACCTCACAGTTTGAGAAATATTAATCCTGTAAAAACTATCAGGCAAGAGGTACTGGACTTAAGCCTCTTAGTAATGACGTAATTATGCAGGTCAATTTAAATTTTAGTTATGGCATTAACTAATGTTAACTCTTGTAGTAAGATTTCATGTAAGCATGAGGTAGAGCTACTAATGAAATAACATAGCAAGCCCCAGCTTTCTATACAATTTTTCTCCTATGTTTAAAAAATTTTAAGATTGTTTTATAACATGGTAAGTTTTTCATCAAAATGCATTTTTATTAAATCACTAATATTGTGATATGTACATTTACAGTATACTGCTTTTTTATTTTTTGAAATTCACTTACAAATTCAATATTGTGTTTTTTGTTTTGTTTTGTTTTTGATTCTGGGGATCATACTTGGGACCTTGCACTTCTGAAACAGGCAGTGGAACAACTGAGCTAAATCCCCAGCCCTCAGTTACAAATTCAAACAATAAAAACCTAAAAAAAATCAAAACCTTTGTTGGGTATACATATGAATGGACAGAGACAAAACCCAATTCTCAAATCACTCCTTCCACACTTGATACTAGTTGAAGACATTCTAACTAGTGAAGGATTGATTGCTAAAGAAGGGGTTATTTTCCTTTGTCTCTAAATTGGCAACATTTGTAAAAGGACTCCTAAAGTTTAAAAAAAAAAGAAAATTTGCTAAATTATTTATTGCTTCTACTTTTTAGGGTAGTTTTAGTCATCTTGGAATATAATAATTCAGTTCCAAAGTAGGTAAACATAAATGTTAAAAATCAAGAACCTTTAATCTATACAAATTGCCCATGGGAGTTAGCAGTTTATAAATGCCTTTCCTTTCTGTTTCTGCTATTTTATGGAAAACTGCCATGTAAAAGAACAAAAAATTCATTACTAATCTTTGAAATTTTTAATTTCTTTTGATAAACAACTAAGTACACTTTTGACTTGGTTTTTGATGACCAGATACCTTTACTGGTATTGGTAAAGATTTAATTTCAGGGGCTGGAGGTGAAACTCAGAGCAGTTGTGGCACATGCATGAGGGCCTGGATTTGATTCCTAGCATCAGACAGTGAATGCTGAAGGACTTAGTTTCATCCTTTATCTTTATATAAATACTTCTATTAAGTTACAAATGGGGGGCCAGGGATTTAGCTCAGCGGTTCAGTGGCCTGCCTTGCAATTTCAAAGACCTGAGTTCAATCCCTGGTACCAAAAAAAAAAGTTACAACTGGGGATCATATAAGAGATTTTTTGGTTGTTGTTGTGTTTATAACCATATTCCACTTTCATATAATCACAGACTTAAAGTTTTTTTAATGTTTTTAAGTTATTAGTTGATGTCTCTGTAATTTGATATTAAAATTAGTTATCGGTATGCATATAAGTTGCTTCACAATTCAGCCTTTTGTTCATTCTGTTTTAAGAATTGTTTGTCAAATTGGCATGGCGGCAGCATGCCTATAATCCCAGCACTCTGGGAGGCTAAAGCAGGAGGATTGCAAGTTTGAGCCAGCTTCAGCAATTTAATGACAGTGTGAACTTGTCTTAAGAAAAATAAAATAAGGAGGACTCAGAAAACAACTCAGTGGGAAGGACTGGGTATCAGTACCACATACACACGAAAGAATTATTTACTGTTAATCTGAGGTTAATTCATGTGTGGCTACTTTATGACTACATTTCCTATGTATGGACAGAAAATACTTATAATTTTGGAATTTAAATAAAGAATTCCTTATTGTTTTTGGCAAAGTGATTTTGCTCAAAGGAAGAGACTTGTTTTATTTATTTTTAAATTTTTGACAGTGTTTAAACGTAGGGCCGTCACATACTAGGCAAGTGTTCTACCACTGAACCAAATCTCCACTCCTTTTTAAAACTCTCTCTCTCTCTCTCTCTCTCTCTCTCTCTCTCTCTCTCTCTCTCTCTCTCGTACTGGGGATCGAACTCCAGTCCCTGTGCTTGTGAGGCAGGTGGCGGAAACAGTGAGCTGAATCCCTGCCCTTAATTTTATTTCAAAATAAGGTCTAGGTTGCCCAGGCTGCCTTTGAACTTCTGATCATGCTGCCTCAGCCTCCAAAAAGACAGATTACAGGCATGTACCACCACGCCTGGTTTTCCTTTTAATTTTTAATGGGCAAAAAAAAAATCCATCAAACTTGATTGATAGATTTGGATTCAGTTCATTGACATTCCTTTAAGATTATAATTCTAGCCAGGCGTCGTGGTACACACCTGTAATCCTAGCCCTTGGGAGGCTGAGGCAGGAGGATCGCTGTGAGTTTGAGGCCAGCCTGGGCTACACAGTGAGTTCCAGAGCAGTCTGAACTATGTAATGAGACCCTGTCTCAAAAAAAAAAAAAAAAAAAGATTATAATTCTAAATATTGATTATTATAGTCTTTAATAATCAGTATGTAGCTACTTTATTTACTATCAAGTGAGGCGCAGAGTGTTCAATTTAAACCCCCAATTCAGAGAAAAGGGACTAGTTGTGTACAATTTAAGTAAATTGAGTCAGATAGACCAGCAGCTCTGTCAAGATCTGCATAAGATGAATTGTTTGTTACATACACACTATGTTGACAGAAGTGGCCATTTAAAATCTTACCTCTGGGATCTCAATTTGGATTCTCAAAGATAGCAAGAACTTTAGGTTTTAAAAAGAATTCTGAGTATAAGACTAGCACGTAGGCTTGGTATTCCAGACACTCTGGGGTCTGTTTTGGTTTTTTGTTCTATTTTGTTTGCTTTTCTAGGATGCCCAGTACAGGTTTTGCCAAGTCTTGTGGGACAGCTGATAGATCAGCTTATAAGATTCCAGATGTAGGGTTACTGGCCAGCAGACTGTATCTGGAAATTTGACACCATGAGGTCTAATTCCTGTAGATTTAATTGCTGAATATGTCAAGATTTGGCTTAGAACTTTCTCTCTAAATAGTCTTTAGAAGACATAGTTTTCATATTTTTTGTATGTTTCTCTTTAGGTTATCAAGATAATAAAAGTTACAAAATTTTGGAGAAGATTTTGTTTTTAAAATTTTCTAGGACTCTGGGACTCTTACCAGATAACAGTAACTGTCCTTTAAAAAAAAAAAAAAAAATCTTACATTGTGGTTTCCAGCCCATGTTATAGTAGAAAACACATAGTCAAATAAAAGGTTTTTTTTTTTTTTTCAATTCTTCACCATGTGCTCTGCTTTTATTCTTTTGAATGTAGTGCAGAAAGGTTAAGTTTAACCTAATCTGCTTTGCCCTGCTAGTGAGAATGTTCAACCCTCATCCCACAGTTGTGGTCTTCTTATGATAGCAAACCAGACGCCAGTGTGTCCGTCAGTTAAATGCCTCACATAGCTCCTTGTGCTCTCGTATTAAACAGCTCTCAGGAAATGGTGACTCTTGAACTTTAGGTTAGGACGGTAACACATTGCTGACATGTGGTCAGCTGTCCGGAGCACAGGCAGTGGAGCCTCAGCTCACACACACAGTGATTGATTAAGATCCTCTTACCAAGAAGCCCAGAAGTGGTATCAGCTGTTTTGATAATTGGAGAAGCATCCCCTCCTTTCACTGTAGGCCCAGTTTTGGGAATAGTTTCATGTTTTAGTCATTTAGCTGGAAATCCTATGTTTTACTATAATTAAATAATGCCAATACTTTTTGTTAGTTTTCAGAGACTTTGATGTGTCTTTAATGTCATTTACTCATTATCTCAGCTGTGTCATTGTCTTTATTTGTAAAGTATCTGAAATGGCATTTCAGGGTTTTAGATTTTGACCCCTGTATACCAGAATTCTCTACCCTGCTTTTCCGATTATCCATAAGTTGAATGCAGTGTTGTTTCTCAGCGGTTTGGTTCACTGAATGGGAATATATACCACACTCCAAAGCTAAAGGTTGAATACCTTCATTACTGTAATTCTCATCCCTACCAAAATTGTTTTTTTTCCATGTTGTTTATTTGTTTTGATGTTTGAAGTTACAAAGTTACATGTGCTACACTGTGGTTTTTTTAAACAATTCAAAATGCTTATTAACTTTCATTTGACTTTCTTGGAAAGTGAATGTTGAGAAAAGAGGTCAGGAAAATTAAGATTAAAAGTTTGCTCAGCTGAAGTTTTACAAGAATCTGACTGGAGTGTTTTTCTCTTCATTTGCTGTGCTTATGTAAACAGTGTGACACCATCGCCACCACAGGCTCGGGTCTGTCCTCCCCATATGTTACCTGAAGATGGAGCTAATCTTTCCTCTGCTCGTGGCATTTTGTCGCTTATCCAGTCTTCTACCCGTAGGGCTTACCAGCAGATCTTGGATGTGCTGGATGAAAACCGCAGGTGATTGGCCATCTGTGACTCTTGCCAGCTTTGTGTTGTGTATTTTTTGGCTCCTTAGTAGGAGGATTGTGGTGTCTTCCTTTTATGTTTGCACTTTCTAGTCTCTTTTTGTGGTTTGAAATGGCTTGCTTTGCTTTCTTTTAATTTGAAATTATTGTCCAAAATTCACATTTCACAAGACTACTATACATTAGCTCTCCCTCAGTTAGAAGAATACTTAGCTCCTGTAATTTTTTTTTTTTTTTTTAAGACTTTGCTGGCCTGGTCTAAGTACTTGATTTCATTTTGGGGATATGCTGAGGGCTAATACTGCATTGAGTATAAGATGCTGGACTGAAGTGCACTAATTTTCTTTAGTAAGTCTTTAGATTTTATCACTTATGTTACCAATATGATTGATACAGCAAGTCTTAACAGGAGATGTCATTTAGCTGCACGTGCATTTTTTCCTTTCCTCTTAGGAACAGATTTCTAGGCTTCAAAAAAAAAATCACAGGTGATGCTATCTTTTTTTAAAGTACTGATATCTTTCAGCATTGATAACGTACCTCACTTTTGAATATCTAGTTAAGACATTAATAGTATTCTTTGCTTTGTTTATAGAGATTTTTTTTCAACCATTTCCAAATACTTTTTGTCCTTGCTTAATTACTGGTCTTTTTAAATGATGAAATTTCTTCTTTTTTTTTTTTTTTTT